ATGTAGTGCCTCGGAATGTGCGTGGGGTTAGCGGGCCGCATGCCACTAACCTCCACATGTACATTCTTACTTGTAATCAGGACAAGGAGTGGTCCTGTCGCTAAGGAAAATTCCTGCAAATAACGACACTACAAATTTCCTTCTCTACTCTGATACGACCTCCCCCCGTTCCCCATGCTAACTAGCACCTTCCTAGCTCTTCACACTTCCTACTACTTTTCCACGAAATTTTCCGAAAAACTCCGGAAAACACCCCCCCCCTCTCAAGTGCCTTACTCTAGTACGACCCCCCTCCATATCCGACTCAACGTTCCCAACTTTCCCAAGCTTCCTACCAACAAACTTTCAGAAGTTTTTCGGTTTCTCCTTAGATTTTGGCTGGCGGCTGGAACGGGGGGTGGGGGTTGCGTATAGCACACGTGAAACGAAAAAAAACCAAGAAACCGCAATCAGCAACGGGAAGAATTTTACCAACATGCCAATTCCTCTCAACGGCTAATACAACCACCCTCCCCTTAACGACCAGGAGATTATCCAATGCATGAGGTGGTCTGAACCCCACTGGTCACGAAATTTGTACTGAAATTACTACAGAAACAGCCTATCTTCGAATAATATTTACCGGATCCCAATGAAGAGATTCCTCTGACCCGTCTTCTTCTTCGGCTTGTTGACTTTCTTCTTCAACGTCCTAGAATTTAAATGAGTTACTCTGAAGATAGACAACAAAAAAGGACACAGTGATATGAAAAAGGTACCATATACTCCCTGAAAACAAGTGCGAGCAAGTGTAATTGGAACTTTCTTTGAAAGCACAGTGACGCTGATCGTTAGACGGAGTCGCGCAATCGTGGTCCCTTCCTCATAGATGCGTCCCTTTCTTCTGAAGACTGTCGAGAATGAGTGCGCCAATGAGGAGAACGCAATGCTATGACTGACTCCGCCCACATAAACAACATGGACTGTAAATCCAAGAGCCAAGTTTGCTATGTAATCAACAGTCCTTCCATTTTCTATGGATGATCTTTTACATCTGTCGACCTCTACAATCAGTCGTTCTTCTCAGCGTGAGTCGTGCATGGTTTGAAATTCGCATTTTATTTCGGTTGAACCGATTCTCTACAGTTGCCCCTAGACAGCATTCAATGCCTGGATGCGGAATTTAGTCATTTTTAAAGGAGCGGTCCGCGATGACCCATGAAAATGCAAGAGGTTATGTGGGAAGGTAGTGCGGTCCGGAGTGGACAACCCTGTGCCAGTTTCGCGGCGGAAAGTTGTACGGTAAAGGGATTAAGGCGCAAAGTTGCTTCAGTGGTACATCCCTTTTTCCAGTGACTCCGCCTCCAGACTCCGCCTCCAAAGTCGGCCTTCCAGCCAAAAGTAATGCTCCTGGGCGAGTATCATGGAGTGGATGCATTCAATGTCTCTTGTAGATAATAAGATTTTAATAAAAAATTTTTATATAGTATTTTGATTGTTAGTTTCTTTACTATACTTTTCTATTTAGAGGGGGTGACTCAAGGAAGTAGCTTAGTTTCCGTTTCGCACGTGCCCTTAGACGGAAACCAAGCAGTTTATAATATCCTCCTTCTGTGCTCATCAGTAGAGTCATAGGGTTCATTACTGGGAATCAGCCGACGGGAATTGTCCCAGCGCGCGGTCTTTTCGGTCTTTTACCTCTACAGTTGTTTGAGGCTAGAGGAGGCCTGACGAATGCGTTTCCAACGTTCCCTTTGGCATTTTCTCTTCATAGATGGTTCACTTGGCGAATTTTCTTCCACATTTCTGCAAAATCACCTAGGCTTTTTATCGCGGGCCGTGCCTTTAAGATCGTTTCTCCTGTGCCGCTGAATGAACAGAGTGAGCCCGGGAGACCTCTTTTCACGGAGCTGAGAATCGTTCACTGCTCATGTTTTCCTTCGACACTCTTCCTCGTCCCCCTGAGAACACTATTCAGCTGTTTTCAAACTCCCTTAAAGAAAAGGGTTGAAGTAGCAGATTTCGTGATATTCTCCTTTGCTCTCTACTCAGAGCCACAAAACTCCAGAGCATCCTCTTGCTACAGGGAAACGATGACAATCATTGTTTTCGTGCAGAAGCTTTTATTTTTCAGAGGAATGAACCTGCTCATCGTGGCTCAGTTCGGCTTGGAGAGGCATTTAATAATTCCTGTGACCAAAGAAGCAAAGTCCACTTGCACCATTTCGCAGCTCTAGAAGAGTCTGAAGGCTAGTGATCTTGTTAGTTAACATAAACTAACAAAAGGAACCAGTGAATGTGCAGAATGTCCCTCCTGAGCAGAACAGCGCCCTTATTGAGTCGCTCGTCCTAGTGTTCGTTTGACTTCGCCGGATTCAGACCGTTCTGCTCCAATAGTCATCACGAATCGGTTGACATCTTTGAAACACCTGATTTCTTGGTATTGATGCTACCGCGTCCCTAATTTTTGGCCCATTTAGTTCAGAACTTCAGGATTCTTCCGTCTGCTGCTGCCCGAATTGAAGAACTGCGAGCTTGGTCCCCTCCACCACGTGTTGAACAACACTTTTCGTGTTTCCGTACTGGTTCCTTTTTGCTCTGCTCATCGTCCCGCCTCCTTAGTTCATCCTGCTTACGAGTGATCAGGCTTCTGAGGCGTACAGTGATACGCTTGATGATCGTAGACATCGCAAAATCTGCTCACCTTCCAATCGCTCATCGTCGGCCTGTCATTAAACGATCCAGCCGTTTTCTTCTTAGCAAACGCCCGACGTAATCGTTTCCGTGCTGACGACATTTTTGACGGTGAAGATTTCCGCTCATCCTGAAGCTTAGAACTTTTTCACAGGAGAATCACGGAAGATTTTTGAAGTTCCAGGGAAGAAATAGCAAATATAAACGAAAACAGAAAAATGTGTGCTCCAAAGCCCATCCAGACTTACAAGATCTTCCGTTTGTATGGTTCGCTCAGTGATCTGCGGACATGGAGTCTGTATGCGAACGTTCTTCGTCTCGAGCTCTGTCGCCACCTCGGCATCCACTAGTTCAGCTTGACTAGTCTGTGAGATCTGATCCATCGTCGGTAAGCTCTCAGTCTGACAAACTCCTTCCTGTAAAGAAATTGCTTGGTACTAGTCATGGACTGGAACAAGCAGGGCGGCGCTAAACATCGGCACCAGGTCAAATAGGTTATGACGGATTACGCACTATACCTTCTACCTCCCGTCCATATGGTTTTTCATCCATCGTTTTGATGGTTAATGTCAGATAAGGTCCACTATTCGGTGCTAAGTTATTTGAGCAGGGTTGCGTGGGCGTCTCCGGGCAGCGTATAGCATCGCTGATGTGTGAATGTAGTGTCAGTAGTCAACCCCCTCATCGGAGTAGGCCACGGCGTACGATCCCCCCCCCCATCCCATAAGAGGCATTGCGTACGATCCCTTGCTAAGAGAGGCTCTGAAAGATGCTCCGACTTTCCCAAACATCTTACTTACACACAGTTTTCTAAATATTCACCCGAGAATTTTGCGTGTAGGGGCTGGGAATGTGAGAGGAGGTGTAAAAGCCAACGTGAAAAGGGAAAAATCCGCGAAAAGTCAACAATCGGGAAAAAATTTTCCCCGATGCGGAAAATCTCTCTCAAATGCACATACGACACCTTCTCTACCAACAATGACCAAATACGACCCAACCCTCTCCCCAGCGGCCAAGTACGATCCTTTCACACAACGATGCCCTACCCTGTCTCTGGGTCCCATACCGTAAGCAAGACTGCGAGGTGAATGTGTCTGCGGATGCAGTAGTAGCCGCTTTTTGCGCTCAAAAAGGGACGGGATTGGGTTTCGAGGGTAGCGATACGCAGATACCGTCTTTTGGCCCGCGCTGTCCTCAATGTGCGTTGATACCGAAAGCCCGCATCGAATACGCAGTGATGTAGAAAGCAACTAGAAGTGAGAGATCGCAGGCAAGTAGCGCGCTGGGCTACGGTTAGGCGTGTCACTGCTGTGCGACAGCGCGAGCGAGGTATGTATGGACACGGAATCGGATATAACTACCCTCAACTCCCGTTCCCGTGCTTTTTTCAGAGGAAAAAGTGGCTTGCTAATGCAGCTCCGAACCCATTCAATTCGCATGTCGCACATTTCGCCTAGGACCGTGAAGGTAAGGGTACAGGTTGTCTTAAACTACGCTCAAAAGCACATACCATTAGTTGTGACATCACTGTCAGCACTTCTTCGTCGATCATCTCGATGATGGCAGTTTGAGCCTCGACGCTGTGTATTTCAGCCATTTCGGTTTGCACTTCTTCTTCATGACACTCACTCTTTAACTCTTCCGTTTGACATGAAGTCTGCTCCAGCACTTTTTCCATGGTCTGCTCCATTTTGTCGGATCTTTATGAGCAATCTTTGAATTCATCACCTACGGCCACTCATCATAATACTAAGAAAAAAGTGAAAACTAACGTCTTCAGGGCATCGGTTTGGCACTCTACCTCGTGTACTATCACAACTGGAATTTCATTGGCTTCTTCCAGTAAGATCTGAAAACTGACTATACTGAAGAGAAAAAGAGTAATATTGGAAATTAGAGGAGGACGGGCACCGCCGGGCTACGCTCTCTTTATGATAGAAAGCATATCCTCCCTAGGAGTAGGTGGAGTAAGGTCTACCCATGGGTCTTCGGCATTAGCGCTACCCTTTGTGGTTGGAACGCAGAATTTGCGTCGCCCCAGCTTTTAGCCTACCTTGGAGCTGTTCCTCCTTGCCCTTCTCTTCTGTCTCAAAAGGAAATAGCGCGTCAGTGAGGAAGGCACAATGCTAATCTGGACCCTCACGACGAGCGTGGAATGTGCCTTTAAATTACTTCAGAATTTAGAAGGTCAATAGAGGACCAACTCACCTGCTTCTGTACCATCTGTTCCAGTTCTCTTGGTGGTTCCTCACTTTCCGCATCTTCATGTATTTGGAAGATTTTAGGCATACCTGGAATGATGGTAGATAGGTAAGCGGCCCCTTACGTATTTCGATGAATGAAAATGTTGCGAATTTTAGTTTTAAACTCAATATTTCTTGGCCCTCATAATCTTAGAGGGTACATTTTGGAAGACTCCTAGCAAAGTGGGATGAACTTCATCCCAATAGAGTTACAGTCATCATCACTGAAGTCAATTAGGACGTATCAACGGCGCACGGATTCGAGTGCGGTGCCGGACCCCTTCCCTTTACTCGCTGAGTGTCCCAAGCCGCAAAGCGGAAGAGGCTGGCGCCTTGCCAAAGCCCGACTGTACCGCGTTCAACACTGATCTACCCACCAACAGAGCTCCTTTCCCCTGCGTTCAGGGTGGCTCAGGCCTACTCCTTAT